GCATAAAATGTAAATACTATAGTTAGATACTTTATATTATATATAATATAATATAATATAATATAATATAATATAATATAATATATTATAGTTAAATACTATAAGTTAGAAAAATGATCTTTTATATTTAGAGTTTAAATAACTTCGAGTGCAAAGGGTTAACACTATGCCGTCCGGCGGCACTACGCTGGCGCCAGGTGGTACCACTTCGGTGCCATTTTAAAAAACTGAGATAACATTTGAACTATATTTCTTGGGCGTTAAAAGGCAGCGAACTAACTATAGCATTGTGCTTATTTAACTAAGAATTAAGTGCGAAAATTCTTGGATGACATATCTTAATTTTAGGAGTTTATATTATCGCCATCTTCGAAATTTTTTTTCAAATCTAAAATTTCCAAGCTATTATGCCGGCGTCAAACGAAAGAATCATATCTAAGATCTGCGGACGGCATAGATTTACGGAACCCGTCAAAATGACGGGTCACTAATTTTTTCATTTACGATTATTCATATCGTACAGGTACTATTTATTTATATAGATATATAATTTTTTATAGATATATAATTTATTATATATATCTATATAACTTATTTATATAGATATACTATTTATACGTTACTTACGGCAAACGTTACAGTAACGCTTGTTAAAAATCAGAATAAATGTCTTGTTGCTACCTTTTATAAGCTAATTATAAAACAGCTGTTTTTCGGGGTGCTCCGTAAATCTAGCGTTAAAAGCGACGGCCTTTCTTACTTGTAAACGGCCCGAAGTTTCTCTATGGTGTCTTTGGCCATCGATCCCCTGAGACTATCAAAGTCGTTAATATCCGGCAAATCGCAGAACAACCGCCATCTGACATAAGGCGGCAACCCGTGATCCCGTCCTTGCTGTATCACCTGCGCAGCGTAATCCACAGCGATATCGTTGCTTTTTCCGTCGTGGAAGTATCGTTCCAAAAGGATTTCATTCAATCCTGGCGGTAATGGCTTCCTAGAATGTCCCGCTGTCACGGAAATTAAATCTTGCATCCTAGATCGCCATTAAAACCAAGTTCTCATGGGACAACGTGTCGGTAGTAGACTGTGCTGTTATTTCTTTTTTTTTCTTTTTTTTTTCATTTTAGTTGCATTCGAACGCTATCCGTGCTTCCGATACGCTCTTTAAGTTAGAACTCTACATTCGATCGCTCTCGAATCGCAACGCGATTATTCGAATATTCATCGAGAGGTGGACGAAATTTATTTTTCACCACTCGTTATCATCGCCGATCGAAATGCGATAAGAACACTGTGTATTTAAAATCTTACGAACGTCATGCATCCGGTTAAATTCTTCCCGATCGGCGCTCGGATCGTGCACAAAAAAATGGACAATTTGGGAAGAGGAGCCTCGATTCGAGCCTCGCGGCTCTCGTTTTTTATAGTATCTTTTTTATATCTTTTACATACAAGTATATAAAAGTATATCTATTATATAAAAGTATATGAAAGTATATCTATTATATAAAAGTATATAAAAGTATATGAAAGTATATCTATTATATAAAAGTATATAAAAGTATATGAAAGTATATCTATTATATAAAAGTATATAAAAGTATATGAAAGTATATCTATTATATAAAAGTATATAAAAGCATATCTTTTGTATAAAAGTATATAAAAGTATATAAAAGTATATGAAAATATATCTATTATATAAAAGCATATAAAAGTATATCTATTATATAAAAGTATATCTTTTGTATAAAAGTATATGAAAGTATATCTATTATATAAAAGTATATAATAAAAGCATATCTTTTGTATAAAAGTATATGAAAGTATATGTATTATATAAAAGTATACCTTTCATATAAAAATATATAAAAGTATATAAAAGTATTTATATCTATTCATAGTATCGCCTCTCCCCAAATTGTCCATCTTTCGTGTACAATCTGAGCGTCGATTAGGGAGACTTCACCGTATTAGGTTGTCGCAGGAGCTCCTTTCATTTTCGTCAAGTGTGCGCAAAATACGGGAACGGGGACGATTTCCCCCCAAAAAAAGAACAACGTAATTAATTAACGTTGAACGTCTCAAGCACCGATTGGACAGCGCCAAAAAAAAAAACCAAAAAAAATACCAAAAGAAAATAGCAACACCGATAATATGCCACGTGGGCGCAAACTGCATAATCGCGATAATCGTACGCGGTAACAAGTCCGAAAGCGGTCAAGTGAAAGCTCGCGATGACAATAAAACATCGAGAAACGTGCCGCGCGTCGTCTAACCGCGCGCGATGCCCAGATGACGCGACGAACTCGCGCGACAACCGTATACATAATATTTCGATGTAACAAATCACGTCGCGACTGACCTGTGGCGCCGACGATCAGACGATCGACGGCTCCCGCTTCGTAAAACTCCTGCGGGGCGTAGAAGGCGGACAACAATGATCTTTCCCCGGACTTCAGCGCCGATCGTGAGTCAACTAGGTCGAGGGTTTTCGGGGTCAGCGCGGCCACGAAGAAGAGTCCGGCCGACGCAACGGAGTTCGCGAGCGTCGCGTCCGTTCTTGTGTCGTAGCCGCGAAAGTATCCCCGATGTGTCAACCGTAATTGATACCTGAAAACCGTAATTGTTACCGTAACAATATTGCAACGATAACGCGACGATAACAATAACGCGCGTAGCCTAATTGCCATTCCGGCGGAGAAACGGCGAGCTGCCGGGTAAAACTCGCGGTGCCGGCGCGGTGGAACGCGTTCGTTTTTTTCGCGCGGACCTGTTAATCCGTTAAATTAATTATGCCGGGTGAAGAGGGTGCGCGCACGTACTTGTCGAGGGCCGCCTCGCCGAGAACAACGGGCAGGAACTCGTTATAAGTTATATGCTCCATTTCCGCGACAACGATCCTTCTCGCCTCCTGATAGAGTCTCTCGTCGTCCCAGCGAGGATTCAGTTGTCCCAGCTCTGTCGCGACACGGTTGTGCTCCCGCAGAAAAAGCACGTGCATCAGAGTGAGACCGGGGTTCTCGTTCACCCGCGAGTCCCCGCTAAGGAAACACGGGAAAGCTTTGCTGGCGCTACGGCAACTTTCGTACTTCGGCGACGGCATCGGCAGATTCTTCCTCTGCGTGTTCAGCAAGCCGTCCTTCCCGGATCGCAGGGTCCTCGCTACTTCTTCGGAACTACCGTAAACCGGAGACAGGTCCAAGTACGAGGTCGCCTGGTTGATCTGCTGCCGGGGACCCAGTTTGCAACCCTACGTTCAAACGTTACTTCTATGTACATGCATATACACTTTCTCTCTCTCTCTCTCTCTCTCTCTCTCTCTCTCTCTCGTCGAATGCGGAGGTATGCTGCTGATTTAGGTTAGCTTAGGATTTGACCTAGTTGACCTAGGACATTCGGGGAGGTCCCGGACAATTCTACCGTAGATAAGGGTGCTTAGGGGAGGAACGCGTGTTTCGCGTTCTTTCTTCAACCCTTGCGCCAATTCACCGAAACGTTGAGCATCTTTTCTGGGAATCTTGATTAGGATTTATATAATTGAGCCGTTTATTTTGAAAGTGGCATAAGTCATTTTACCGTAATGAAAAGTGGTGATTTTTGAATGTTTATACGAAATTATTTATACTGAGAAAAATATCAGTATATACTGAGATAACAAATAGAAGTAAATCTTCTCGAAAGTTAGCATCCATATTTATATTATATATATATTATATTATATTATATAATATATATATATATAATATATCGACTTAAAAACAAAAGATATTATATTATATATATATTATATTATATTATATAATATATATATATATAATATATCGACTTAAAAACAAAGTGACTTATGCCACTTTCAAAATAAACGGCTCAATTAAGACGGTAGGATATACAGGGTGTCCCGAAAATGTCTCGAAATCCGCAAAATGCCCGAGGCGAGTTTTAAAGTAATGTCTCCCTAATTGACGCTCAGATTGCGCAGAAAAATGTACAACTTAAGAAGAGGAGCCCTGCGACTTGTTCTTACAGTTGTCGACAATTCGAAACCATAAAAACGAGCCGCAAGGCTCGATTAATCGTATCTCCTCTTCCCAAAATTCTCCATTTTCTTTTTTGTGGACAAACTGAGCGTCGATTAGAGAGACATTACTTCCAACTCGCCTCGGGTATTTTGCTCACGTTATTTCTGCTGCTAACTAATAAAAATCATCAGATACATACAGGGTGTCCCAAAACTGGATAACTGGATAACCGGATAGTTATCGCATTGGCGCAAGCGTTGAAGGAGGTCCCTTCTCGGTCCGTCATTGAGAGACGTTTTCCAGGGGCGTTACCTGAAACGAGTTTCCTGGGTGGGGCGCCGACCTCGAGTACTCCATGCAGCCAATGGCGTTGTCGGCGCGGATCGGGAAGCACTCCGGATGAAAGTGCTCGTAGTCCACGTTGCAGCATTTCAGTTTCGCGCCGTCGGGCAGTTCCATTTTCGGCGTGTGGGCGAGATCGTGGACCAGAAACTGGCCGAAGAGGGCGGTGAGCGCCATCAGATAGGGATGTTTGAGGTCCAGACCGCCGGAATGGACTCTCAAGGAGACCTCGCGGGCGCTGGGCAGTTCGGTGTGCGGCAACGAAACGCCATCCACGTATTCCGGCGCTAGAAATCTCGCGTAAGGCTCTAGAGAGGCGCCCCATGTGGGGTGCAAACCGTTGTTGCACCTTCCGGTGTGCGTTCTGTACCGCGCGTCGTACTCCTTACAACCGGCCATCACTTGCAGAAAGGTGGACGTGTCCGGGCAATGGATGGCCGCCACCGAGGGCAACACGGAGGACGCCTCTTTCGACGACATGTTCAACGCCTCCACCAGCATCATCGCCATCGTCTCGATTCGCAGCGCTTTCCTCGAGAGATTCTGCGCGTGCTCGGTTATCTCGTGGGACGCGCTCAGGAAGTAAGACGGGGAGCCATGATTCAGATGCGTGTGCGAGCTCTGTATCGCTTGCTCGGCCTGATGGTACTTCAGCATCGACACGTTCGTACGCTTATTCAGATCCAGCAGCATGCTCGACGGCAGAGTCGCGCCCTCGACCACCGCGAACGCGACGAGGAATCTGCGAATCGGAATCTAAGGATAGGAAATATTAATTTGTTCTTACACGTAGCTGGAAGTCGGATCAGCGTCGCCGGATTCAACCTTTTAGGGACGGCTGAATTCTGCGCGAATACAGGGTGTCCCAAAAATGTCTCGCAATCCGAAAGTGGCGGGTTCCTCAGACCATTTGAAGCAACTTTTTCCTTTACAAAAATTTTCTCCGAGGCACCGTTAACGAGTTATTAACGAAAAACAGTGACCAATGAGAGGCGAGCTCAGATGGCGCGAGGTGATCGAGCCAATGAGCGGAACTGGGCTTCGCGCGCTGGTTGGCTGGACCGTCTCGCGTCAGCCGTACTCGATTCTTATTGGTCACTGTTTTTCGTCAATAACTCGTTAACGGTGCCTCGGAGAACATTTTTGTAAAGGAAGAAACTGCTTCAAATGATC